CCGCCCCGCTCCCCTCTCCCCAGCCCCTGGCTGCCTCTTCCCCCTCCCCTCCTCCGCCCCTTTCCTGCCCTGCCAGGGTTCTGTCTCCTGGCCCGAGCTCCAGGCTCCCCACCCCGCTCCGGTTCTGCTCGGTGTCCCTGAGCCCGTTTGCTCATTTCCCGGGCCGCTCTGTGCTGGGGGTCGGGCAGGCCCTTACGAGCTGATGGGGGGGGGGGGATGAGAGACGCAGCCCCGGCGAAGTGTGTCTGGGGAGCGTGGCTCCCTTTCCCCCCCGCCGGCTGGCAAAGGCGAACCCGCAGGGCGCAGAGCCGAGCCGGGGAAGGGAGCCCGTCGTTTCTGCACCTGCTCAGAGGAGCCAGGCGCAGGGGAAAGACGCCGCGGCTGGGGAGGCCCTTTTGCAGCCCCAGCGTTGCCCAAGAACGAATTGAACCCGCAGCGAGCCGCTGGTGTGAATTGTGGGGAGTGTCGGGGCGCATTGAGCGTCAGCTGGCTTTGGAGAACGCGGCATTTGGCGCTCCAGACGCAGGCCGTGCTAGCAGTCTGTGCCCAAACGAATTCCGGCGCCCCGTCCTTCGCTCAGCTCGGGGCCCTGCGCGGCTGGGAACTCCCCGAAAGCGGCCCCCGACCCCCCTCGTCCGTGTCTGTCTCCCAAACACTGGCCGATGCCATTCGTAGCCGCAACAGGGTCTCTTTTAAAATGCCACTTGCTTTGTCCTGGGCACGGGAGAACCAAGGGAAAAGGAGCGAACATCGACTTTGGCTCCCTCTTTTCCCTCTCCCCAGGCTGCAAAACAGGGGGACGCGTTTCGTGGAGAATCGAAACCAGCCACGTTTCCCTGGAAATCTTCCCCGCGGGAAAGCGGGAGTTTTCGATCATTTCTAAGAAACGAGGGGAGCGTGGGATCCCCCTTTTGCGGCCACGAACATCAAAATAAACAAAATCGCAACGTTCAAGGCCCTGGATGGTTGTGCGCTGAGCCGAGCCGCGCGCGTTTGCTAATTGGCCTGCCTGGTGTCTTTTCCACGCGTGGGACATTCGATGTAATTATCCGTCGTGTAAATCACGTTCGGAAATAGCCGGCTCTGAAATTCGATTCCCCCAACGACCCTGGCCCGCAGTTGTAGCCGGGAGCGGCGGGGTGGGGGTCTGGGGGCAAGGGCCGGGTCGCGATGGGGATAGAGCGAGTGGTTTCGAAGAGGAGTGAATTCTGGAAGTAAAGCGTTTGACAACGGCGCCCCGACACCGCTCCCCGCCGAATTGCTTCCGTAGGAGCGGCGGGCCCGCGTTTTAAAGCCGCCGCCATCGGATTTAAAGACATGTCGGGGCTGGCCGCGGTTCTTGCAATTGCCCAAGAGTGCGGCTCACGCCACCAACCCCGCGAGACGGGCCGACACAGGACACCAGCGGCCCGCAATCCCCGTAACGAGCCAGCTCCCTTTCCCTGGCCTCTCCGCACCCGGCCCGCAGCCCGACAGACGGGGCCGTGCGGCTGCACTGGGGTGTGTGTGGAGGGCACAGGAGCTTGTTAACCGAGGGGGCTGCTGGACCCGTTTCTGGGAGCCCAGATACGCGCTAGGTCTTTTGTCCTGGCTCCGGCCAGGCACCTCGGAGGTGCCCTTGGGCTCAAGGGCAGATGTCACAGCAACTTGTTGGAGACGCAGGCGCTGAGCCACAAGGATGCGGCTCTGTGG